ATTCGTGCAACGACTTTTAACTGTCTCTAGACTGTGACCCTGGCCTTTGGCCTCATTGAACTTCCCAATTGTTGTAATCCTTTTCAGTAGTACGTATAAAATCATTTTTCAAAAGACCGTCGTGCTCCCGTTACAGTTCAGAACTTGTGAAAAGTATTTTAGAGTTTTACGACTTATTTTGGGGGTTTTAAATTGCTAACTTCCGATTATTTTGCGATCCTTCTTCCTTAGCCTGCCACGATTATCTCTGTAGAGCATATTGTCTTATTTTTTTATCAGCTTTATTCTCTTATCAAAATCGACAACTCGGTTATTGGTGTCGGATACCCGAATTTATTTCCAATGAATCCCTGCTTTCGGCTGCCACAAGCAAGCCGTTTTCTCTCGGTTTCGGGTAGACAAAAGAAAAACCACTCGTTCGTTGTCTAGGGTTAATTAATTCAAAAATGCAAGACGCGTTTTTGTTTTGTTTTCGACGTGTTTCATGTCTGGGCATCGCTTTGGAGACTATATACAAACTATATCTGACAGATTCCTATTAGTGTTGTTATCTTTATTTATACGCAACTAACAATACTCACGTTGGCGGGCGTTCGCGATCCTCACGAATGGATGCAAAAGTTCGAGTGAAGAAGAATAAGAAAACTGGTCGAACACCGAAAAAATTGGTGTATTATCCTGCGCTTTCGAACTCATAGAGGATTCCATTATCAGAGATAGTAGCAGCAGCAGAAGAGGCTACAATTTTGAGGAATACAAGCGAATCGATTATCACTGACGCAAGTCTAGAGGTGACTGCGCGGGTCTCTGTATGCCGGTGCCAGATCGATTGATTGAGTTCCCATCAGAAGGCTTTAGTGAACTTTCCGCTCGTCTTGTTTCTGGCATGAGCGATTATCTTGATTATCTTCAGGACCCGTTTTGTAAGTGTGGGCAACTACTTGCGATTACTCCTCGCCTTGCCACATATCCAATTTGTATCCATCTATGCGCGAACCGAGCATGTGCTCCGTCTGACTTGTGCAGTTGAAGCGTGCGATGCGATACACTAGGACTGTTCCTCGGGTTTTAGTCCAAAGCTGCCATCAGTTTACCGAGCCTTGGATCCTTCAATAAGACATGGAATCAGGAACCTCGCCGCCATCGCCTAACTCAAAATTCCAGGAAGAGTTGATATTCCCGTGTCATAGCCCTAAGACTAGCCCAAGCCTAAGCCCTTACCTTAACATTAACGCTAATTTGCGTGGAAATAAGCACAAGGTCCCCGGTATTGGAGGGGGAGGTTTCTATCCCCATGCCTTGCCTCTTCCTTTCCATCTTAGACTCTAATCCCTTGGACAATCATGCTTTTTTGTCCTGAAATTCCTTAAGTTTGCCTCTTGCTCGACCTCACCCTGACACCTAACGAGGCTCGTTTTAATAAGTCATTAGCACTGAGCATTCGTCGCTCTTCTATTCTCCAGATACGAACAGTGCAGCAGATCAAGTATGTCACAGACGCCGACCTTGATGAACTGGGAATGAGCAAGCCCGAACAACGGCGGCTGAAGCGTTACTTTGAGAAGGAATGTCCTCAAACAGCCATGGGAAAACTGAAAAAGGTTAGTTGTCTCATTGATTCCTTGAAGGATTTTGTAGCTTCTGGAGACTTTATCTACCCTTAAGTCATACGAGGCTGCGTTCACTTTCCCCCATTTTGAAGTTTTTGTTTAAGAAAATTGAAATTTTCGGTTCTCTTACGGAAGTTTTTAAGGCGACTTTCTCTACTTTATCGAAAATTTTTGCTTTATCTGCCGTTATCTCAGAAAGTGCCTCTTAACCCGGGAACCCAATTGCCTGTCTTTTACCAGGTCTTTGCAAAACTATTATTAACGAACTAATTATCTGTCATGATCACCATTTATCTATATCACAGTACATCGATAAAAAAAACATTATTATTTTAGTTGTGCCTGTAGACTCGCTAAGACATAAAGTAGAGCAGGCATTTTTAGGGTACCTTAGCACTTTTCTGCTCCTTCCCGCCTCATAAGGCCTTTGCTATATTCGAATTTTCATTCTCTTGGCTTATTCCAGGAATAAATTCCTGATATCTTTTTTACCTTAAAAGGTAGATTTAGGGTTAAGTTTGGAGTTCAAGTTATAGTTATAGTTAAGTTTAGGGTTAACCCTTGAGGCCAGCATATAAGAAATCCGATCGAGTTTGCACAGAGCACTGTACAACCGGTTGGAAACTTTTAGCTGTATCAACCTATCTGTAACCTACCTATTCCTGGACTTTCTTCTCGCCGATGGAAGCGAATATGCGAGCAAAGAAAACAAAGGTGCTATTACTGGAACAGCACTTGTATTAGTCTGAGCTTTCGGGCTTGTATAGGAGGCCATCTTCAGCGAAAATGAGAGTACAGCAAGAATTGGCATCTTTTGTAGTTCACCTACGAGAAAGTGGGGGGTGGGGTGGGGAGTAGCATTCGGGATTGGTCGAGTCCACGCCCACGTTGTCTCAGCATGTCGTGCCGGCGTGCGTCCTTAGCGTCGGGGGGTGCGCCCTTGTATATGAACTGGGCCGTGCTTCTTGGTCGCGCGAAAGGAGGGCATAATAACAGGACGGTATATCCACGTGCCCGTTGATGGAGTTCGAGGCTGACGCCTGGCCCTCAGTAGTTCTTGTTCCGTCTTATTACTGGCTCGTGCCATTACCGGCGTGCCCGTGAAGTTGAATTCGTTGCCTTCCTCCAGGGTGTGGGTAGCGATCTGGGGCAGTGGGTCGCCTTTCCGCA